GTAGTAGTCATGGGTGATTTCAACTATCCCGATATTTGCTGGAAAACAAACTCGGCCAAGAGTACAAGGTCCAACAAATTCCTCGCTTGCCTTGCAGAGAATTTCATGGTCCAGAAGGTAGATGAGGCAACAAGGGGATTGGCTACTCTTGATCTCATCCTAACAAATGCGGAGGACCTGATCAATGCGGTTGAAGTGGCAGGATCTGTAGGGGCAAGTGACCATGTGCTCCTGCAATTTGAGGTACAAAGGAAGGCCAAAACTAAGACAAGTCAAACCCGCATTTTGGACTTTAGGTGAGCTGATTTCCGAAAAATGAAGGAAATACTGAGCAGCATTCCGTGGATACGGATACTAAAAGAAAAGGGAGCTATGGATGGATGGGAATTTCTCAAGAGTGAAATACTCAAGGTGCAATTGCAAACCGTGCCAACAAAAAGAAAAAATAGGACAAGTGCAAAGAAGCCAGAATGGATATCTTCTAACTGTGCTAAGACACAAAAGAGACATGCACAAGAAGTGGGAAAAGGGAGAAATCACCAAAAAAGAATTTAAACAAGTAGCCAACACCTATAGGGAAAAGGTCCGCAAGGCTAAAGCACAAAACGAGCTCAGGCTTGCCAGGGACATTAAAAACAATAAAAAGGGATTCTTTTCTTATGTCAGTAGAAAAAGGAAAAACAAGGAGGTGATAGGACCTCTTGAGGAGAAGATGGGGCAATGCTGACAGGGGATAGGGAAAAGGCAGAACTACTTAATGCCTTCTTTGCCTCGGTCTTCTCACAAAAAGAGAGTCTCCAACCTCAGCAAGATGGAGTGGATGAGGGATTGGAGGACATCCAACCCCAAATTGGGAAACAAGTCATCCAGGAATACCTGGCCGCTCTTAATGAGTTCAAGTCCCCAGGGCCAGATCAACTACACCCAAGAGTATTGAAGGAACTAGCGGAAGTCATTTCAGAACCACTGGCAATCATCTTTGAGAGTTCTTGGAGAATGGGAGAAGTTCCAGCAGATTGGAGGCCAATGTGGTCCCAGTCTTCAAGAAGGGTAAAAAGGATGACCCAAACAACTACTGTCCGCTCAGCCTCACATCAATACCAGACAAGATTCTGGAAAAGATTGTTAAGGAAGTGGTCTGCAAACACTTAGAAACAAATGCGGTCATTGCTAATAGTCAACATGGATTTATCAAAAACAAGTCATGCCAGACTAATCTGATCTCTTTTTTCGATAGCGTTACAAGCTGGGTAGATGCGGGGAATGCCGTGGATGTAGCGTACCTGGATTTCAGTAAGGCCGTCGACAAGGTCCCCCATGACCTTCTGGCAAGGAAACTAGTCCAATGTGGGCTAGGCAAAACTACGGTGAGGTGGATCTGTAATTGGTTAAATGGACGAACCCAGAGGGTGCTCACCAATGCTTCCTCTTCATCTTGGAAAGAAGTGACGAACGGAGTGCCGCAGGGATCCGTCCTGGGCCCGGTCCTGTTCAACATCTTTATTAATGACTTAGATGAAGGGCTAGAAGGCATGATCATCAAGTTTGCAGACGACACCAAATTGGGAAGGATAGCCAATACTCCAGAGGACAGGAGCAGGAATTCAAAACGATCTTGACAGATTAGAGAGATGGGCCAAAACTAACAAAATGAAGTTCAACAGTGACAAATGCAAGATACTCCACTTAGGCAGAAAAAATGAAATGCAAATATACAGAATGGGGGACGCCTGGCTCGAGAGCAGTACGTGTGAAAAAGATCTTGGAGTCCTCGTGGACAACAAGTTAAACATGAGCCAACAATGTGATGTGGCGGCAAAAAAAGCCAATGAGATTTTGGCCTGCATCAATAGGAGCATAGTGTCTAGATCTAGGGAAGTAATGCTACCCCTCTATTCCGCTTTGGTTAGACCACACCTGGAATATTGTGTCCAATTCTGGGCACCACAATTCAAGAGAGATATTGACAAGCTGGAATGTGTCCAGAGGAGGGCGACTCAAATGATCAAGGGTCTGGAGAACAAGCCCTATGAGGAGCGGCTTAAGGAGCTGGGCATGTTTAGCCTGAAGAAGAGAAGGCTGAGAGGAGATATGATAGCCATGTATAAATATGTGAGAGGAAGCCACAGGGAGGAGGGAGCAAGCTTGTTTTCTGCTTCCCTGGAGACTAGGACGCGGAAAAATGGCTTCAAACTACAAGAAAGGAGATTCCATCTGAACATGAGGAAGAACTTCCTGACTGTGAGAGCCATTCAGCAGTGGAACTCTCTGCCCCGGAGCATGGTGCAGGCTCCTTCTCTGGAAGGTTTTAAACAGAGGCTGGATGGCCATCTGTCAGGGGTGATTTGAATGCAATATTCCTGCTTCTTGGCAGAATGGGGTTGGACTGGATGGCCCATGAGGTCTCTTCCAACTCTTTGATTCTATGATTCTATGATTCATATAAGCTGCTCTGAGTCCCCATTGGGGAGATGGTGGTGGGGTATAAATAAAGATGATGATGTTGATGATGATGATGATTCGATCAACACCAATCAAGAAGATGAACATCTGGCCAGGATACTGAGATGGAGTCAGGATGGAAGACGTCTATCATTAATTTACAACTTTGGGACTACATAAACAGAATATTCCTATAAAAGAATCAGTCTAATAATGCTCAAATTGTGACCGACCTGAGGAGTCTGGTTCACCCGCTATGCTCTGCTCCATGGGAAGGAGAGAGATAGTGTATCTATGGAGAGTGGCAGATTTCCACAGGAGCAGTCTGGTCACTTTGGGGCTTCTTTCTCAAGGGAAGAGGAAGAAGTGTGTTTTTGGAGTCTTAGATTTTGTGCAGGGAGTCAGGTTCTGCTGTATGGAAAACAGAGATCTCGTCCTTGGCATTGTTCTTAGGGAACGAAGTTTTGGCATTTCAGCGTTTTGAAGTTTTGGCGTTATGGAAGTTTTGGAACTATGCATTGGCAGGCTGCAGGAAAGATGGGTCTGGCCTAACAGGTGTTTCTCCAAGGAGGGAGAAAATGCTATGGTAATACTTGAATGCCTGAGGATGAATGCATGTACATGTGGTGTGAATGTTGAGTGAAAATGTAATTCCCCTTTGTTTGTTTGTTAACCAATGTAATTGTAAATCCAATGTAGTTGCACAGAATCTGTATGTCTGTATGTCCAATGTTATTTTTGTCTAAATGTTTTTTCTGTAGTCTGATATACCTTCTCACGCTGGAAATTGCAATAAAAAAGAACCTATGCTTCAAAGTCATTGAAAAGTCATTCATGACAGCACAGAGGGAGCCCAATGTGCAATGCCTTGAAGAAGTCCAATGTTAAGCTTATCAACATTTGCACTGCCATCTTAGGGTCTTTAAAGATTATGACTTGCTGCCTTTTAACATTGAAATATATTCCCTCAGAGAGTTAAACTGTAGCGCTTTAAATAATGTATGCAAATAAATAATGTATGCAAATACATATACTTATTTGAAATATTGTAGAAAAAAGTTAAAAAAACTTAGTATCAATCTGATACTAAGAATTTGGGCAGATTGTATTGGCACAAATTTCACATGTAGTAGAAAACAGCATTTTCTGTTCAGAAATTACTACCATTGTACAGAAATACTCATTTGTGTATGGAAAAACAGACTGGAGTTGAGACCTGATCACATGTCTCAGTAGATGTCTATGGTCTATGGTCCCTCATTCTTATTTCTTCCTCGTGAAGAAGTGAGAATAAAGCTTTTCTCCTGATTGCCAGGTGGAAATGCATAGGTTTCTTTTTTTGCCCAAGACAAGAGTGCATTGGTGAGGAAGAAGCCAGGCACAGTTACATAATTCAGTCTGTGCTATATTCAAAAGTGGAAATAGGACTCTAAGACCAGAAGTATTTCTCCTCTTCCTCTGTGACCCATGTTATCCCTATGTTGGGGTTCAGCCTGTGAGTGACTCTGAACCTGATTCTTTGATTCTATTTCCTGATGGCAATGTAGATGCCAATGTTAATTCTGAGGCCAATGTAGATGCTAATGCTGATGATGGGTTGAGTAGTGAAAATCCTACACCCTTGGAAAGTGAAAGTCAAAGTTCCCATGAGAACATTCATTCCAAACCGAGCGGAGAAGTTTCACTCCCTTGCAGAGAAGTTTCGCTCCCTTTTTCCCCCAGCCTTAGTTCCCCAGAGAATCTGACACCTGGTCGGCCTAATGAGGGAAGGAGTGGGCAGATTCGGTAGAGCAGGGGAGAAGCACAAAGTTTACAGAGGTCAGTAAGATTGAGAGAAATGCAAACAAAAACTTCAGGCGTGTCTCATAATAGATTTCTCTCCTTTAAGAATGCCTGGTCTGAAGGCAGCTTCAGACCAGGCATCGTTCCAGTTTCAAGTGCAAGCCTGTGGAGGCCTCCCAATTCAAGTGGCTGTTTTTCTCGGAGTTTCTCCAATTGTCCCAAGTACAGTTAACGGGGGGCTAGCGGATTCCAGGATTCATCAAGGGTACATTACCATTTGTTGTGGGGTTTTATGGACTTGTTCATGGACAGTGCTTGTTGCTGTTTTGCTGTGGTTCTTATTACCTCTGAATCTTCCTCTGTTTTTATATTAATCGTTTTTCAATAAAAAGGATTGTTTTCCTGAAGTCAAGTGTGGTGGATTGTTGTCAAGAGGGTCCAGTTTCGTGCTCTGGGTCACAACACCCTATAAACCTTTTGGGAGAGACAATAATGAAGAAGCAGGCATTCTGGCATTTGACTGATGCTCTTTATTCTTTGTGTAAGGGCAGTCAGGGAAATATAATATTAATTTTACAATGCAATTCAGAATTAGAATTAAAAGATGAAGATTTGACATATCTGATTTTTCCTGAAAGCAGAACAAGTTGTCTTCCCCCTGAAAGTTTTCACAGAAGATTTTTATTGATTTCTCCACTTGGTACAAAAGCTGTGTTTAAACTGCTGGATCTAATTATATGGGTACATTTCAACATAATTTTATTTTCTCCCTTCAGAGGCTCGCCTGGTGAATGGCCCAAATCCCTGCTCTGGGCAGATAGAGCTCTTGCACAACCAAGAGTGGGGAACCGTGTGTGATACCAGCTGGGACATACATGATGCTCAGTTTGTATGCAGAGAGATGGGCTGTGGCAATGCCCTCAAAGCATTCAGAGGAGCTCATCATGGCCAAGGATCTGGTCCCATCTGGCTGGAGGGACTGAACTGTACGGGGAAAGAGGCATCCCTGAGGGAGTGTCCCCGAAGCCCATGGGGAGAGCACCACTGCAACCACAGCCAGGATGCCAGCGTGGAGTGCACAGGTAGGTTTCTGGCAAAGGATTCAGGAGAAGAGGGCATGAAAAGAGACAACGGCAGAGGCAGAGTGCCAATTAGACTCATCAAAGAGTTCTTTTTCCCTGGCGAGACAGAGAAGCATCCCATATTTTTCCCTGATTTCCCAATGAAAAGTCTCACCAGTTGAAGAAAAGCCATTGAAGTTTAATGCGATTCAGCTGAAACCGGATGCAAAGCTGCAATCATTCGCCAAAGCTAAGCATGAGGAGATTACACCAATGCAGTCATATTTATAGTAAATTCAAATTTGCAGAGTTCAAACTCCCCGCCCCGGCTTCCCTGTTGTTCCCTGCTGTGATTGGGTGATGGGCGGACACCTGGGAGGCGGCCCTCCCACCCCCGGTGCCTCTGGACCAATCAGGAAGCTCCAGTGGTCCGTAGGATCCAATGGGGAGACCTCTGCCACCTGGTGGCGACAGCCAATCAGGAGAGATGGAAGCGGGATGATGGAACACAAAGGACTCTGGGAAATGCCATGTGCTCTGTGAGACAAAGAGCCCATACAGGGCTGCTTTGAGTGTTGTGAATCAACATGTGTCCTTCCTGGCTGTGAGACAGGGGATCAATGCTGGGGTTAATGCTATCAATGGGAAGTAAACAAAAAGCAGAGGGGAAGTTTCCCCTTATCTTACAGAAACTTTTGTCAAACAATTGTTTAGGCCAGGTGGTTCCCTTACATATTTCTTTGGAGGGAGAAGGGGCAAAGGGTCAGGAATACAAGAAACATAAAAACCATATAGAAATTATACACAGGGAAATCATATGCAGCTATCTTCCCATCCAGGACCCCAGAGAGAGATTAATAATACCAATTATAAAAAGCAGATGATATCAGGACACAGCATGAATTCATAAGTTGTCTTGAAGAAAGTTCATGGGTAGAGAGCGAGTCCTTGAAGAGAGTGAAGTCCAGGAATGTAGCAGAATTCAAAAAGCCACCAAAGGGAGTCTATGGAGTTCCACTGGGTCAAGACGCAAAGCCCTGCAGCGCTGGGATGGAAGCCGGTCCCATGGTCCTTGGAAAACTACAGCTCTCTCTCGAGAGAGAGAGGCAGAGACCCCAAGGTCTAGCTATTCCCAAAGTTTCATGGGGTCCTCATTGTTGTTAAGGCCTTGGCAAATTGACCAAGACTTAACCCCTATTGTGCAGTCTGGTACCTTTGTCCTTTGCAGAACTATAAGTCACCATCCCTTGTTGGGGGGGGGGGGGGCATGCTAGCATGCAGGAGAAGAGGGCATGAAAAGAGACAACGGCAGAGGCAGAGTGCCAAGGGGTTTTGCAGCACTTTGGAAATTTACTGTAAGAAAGAAGTAGGTGTCAGAAGCTTGTGTAGACTAAGGTCTACTTCTTGTTCATTCAGTCATCTCCGACTCTTCGTGACCTCATGGACCAGCCCACACCAGAGCTCCCTGTCAGCCGTCACCACCCCCAGCTCCTTCAAGGTCAGTGCAGTCACTTCAAGGATGCCATCCATCCATCTTGCCCTTGGTCGGCCCCTCTTCCTTTTACCTTCTACTTTCCCCAGCATAATTGTCTTCTCTAGGCTTTGCTGTCTCCTCATGATGTGGCCAAAGTACTTCAACTTTGTCTCTAGTCTCCTTCCCTCCAGTGAGCAGTCAGGCTTTATTTCCTGGAGGATGGACTGGTTGGATCTTCTCGCAGTCCAAGGCACTCTCAGAACTTTCCTCCAACACCACAGCTCAAAAGCATCTCTCTTCCTTCGCTCAGCCTTCCCTACGGTCCAGCTCTCACATCCGTAGGTTACTACAGGGAATACCATGGCTTTGACTAGGCGGATCTTTGTTGCCAGTCTGATGTCTCTACTCTTCACTATTTTATCGAGATTGGACATTGCTCTCCTCCCAAGAAGTAAGCGTCTTCTGATTTCCTGGCCACAGTCTGCATCTGCAGTAATCTTTGCACCTAGAAACACAAAGTCTGTCACGGCCTCCACATTTTCTCCCTCTATTTTCCAGTTGTCAATCATTCTTGTTGCCATAATCTTGGTTTTTTTGATGTTTAGCTGCAACCCGGCTTTTGCGCTTTCTTCTTTCACCTTGATTAGAAGGCTCCTCAGCTCCTCCTCACTTTCAGCCATCAGAGTGGTGTCATCTGCATATCTGAGGTTGTTAATGTTTCTTCCAGCAATTTTCACCCCAGCTTTGCATTCATCCAGCCCCGCACATCGCATGATGTGTTCTGCATACAAGTTAAAAAGGTTGGGTGAGAGTATGCAGCCTTGCCGTACGCCTTTCCCAATCTTGAACCAGTCTGTTGTTCCGTGGTCAGTTCTTACTGTTGCTACTTGGTCCTTGTACAGATTCCTCAGGAGAGAGGGAAGGTGGCTTGGGATGCCCATCCCACCAAGAACTTGCCACAATTTATTATGATCCACACAGTCAAAGGCTTTAGAGTAGTCAATGAAGCAGAAATAGATGTTTTTCTGAAACTCCCTGCCTTTCTCCATTATCCAGCGGATATTGGCAATCTGGTCTCTGATCTACTTCCTCAGATACCTGAAGTTAAGTGTCTAGAAACAGATCTTGGTAGCTATGAATAAGCACTGGCCACATTTCCATACCCACATGCCTCCAATTTCCACCCTAAGCAAACAACCAAATCCTTCATTCATAATCATGCTTCCTGATACAATCACATATGTTCAGTTCCAGAAGACAGGAATGCCAAACTAATAGAATTATAACTACTAATCCACTACAGTCCTCCTCATCATATGTTTTGTTGTTTGTTTGTTTTTAAAGTATCAACAAGACAAGACTTGGGACTAATCTATTACAGAATTGCAGAACTGCATCGATGGTCACATATAGCTTCCAACTGGGACCACTTTGATAATCAATTCTTCTAAATCCTTTGGGACAATAATACTATTTTCTCAAGGGCTCTTAGTTGCAGAGATTTACACCCCTTCAATCAGTTTCCCAATCTGAAATGTTTTCTTAACTACTGAGAGGACACACAACACAGAGAGGGAGATGGGACCCTGCCAACCTAGATGCCAAATCTGCCCACTCAGGAAATGCCATCATAGGACCTGATCACATCACCCACAATTTTGGAGGTGGTCTCACTTATTGAATCATAGAATCATAGAGTTGGAAGAGACCTTGTGGGCCATCCAGTACAAGCCCTTTCTGCCAAGAAGCAGGAAAATCACATTCAAAGCACCCCTGAGAGATGGCCATGCAGCCTCTGCTTAAAAGCCTCCAAAGAAGGAGCCTCCGCCACTTGCCTTTTAATTCTACTGTAGAGTTCAGGGCTATTCTTAGTAATTTAGAGATCTTCTCCATCAGGTAGGAAAGCATAGTTCTTTTTTATGTGCCATATCAGTAAAAGAGTCAAACCTCCTGCAATACCTTCAAGGACACAAAACACATGGCAACACCTGGCAAGAATACTTCAATACATGATTGTTTACAAACATTTAAAGACTAAGCCACTCAAAATGTTAATCTGTATAAATGATTCTTATTTTCAACCAGATATGAAAAATTATAATCCTCCATATTTTTATATCCAGGTAGATATCAGGAACAATAAGTAAGTTTTTCTTCCTACAGCTTTCAGGCATTCGGCAACTTTCCTCTACAAAGAAAGGGAACTACACAGCCTTTCTACAAAAGCTGCACAACTTTCCTAGAAAACCATCTAATTTTCTGTAAACCATTGCGCTTCAGAAAATGCTCACTTCTAGCCTCAAAACAACTGCTACTTTCCATGAGCTTTCCCAGTTGCCAGTTCAGCATCCTCACCGGAAAATGACCTGTCTAAATTTTCTACTTTTTTTTGTTTATTTAGAGAGTTTTTACCCCGCTCTTCAACCACAAAGGAACACATAGCAGCTTACCATCTACATAAGATAAATTATTTATTTATCGTGTCAGGAGCAAACCAAACAGTTGTATTGCATTTTTTAAACAAACAAAACACAAAGTTTGCAAGCTTGGTAGTTGATTAGATGTCCTTTGAGAGCAGTTGTTCTTTGGTAGCTGACATGCCTTCAATGTTGATGGAGATTATTGTAATGGTTGGTCCTGAAAAGGTCTGTTGATTGTTTTGCTTGTTTGTTTGCATGCTGCAAGTCGCTTCTGGTCGCTTCTGGAGTGAGAGAATCAGCCCTCTATGTAGACATTGCCCAGGGGATGCCTAGATGTCTTGCAATCCTGCAAGGAGGCTTCTCTCATGTCCACCATAAGATAAATTAGATGTAATACATAAGACAGTGTCCCACTTGTCTGCATTAGAGATGGGGAAAGGCAGGGGGAAGCCAGCTGAGGGAAGGAGGGAAAACCAGCTGAGAATGGATGATACATGATGCTTGAGAAGAACATCGGGGTGTCCTGGGAGGATGCTGATCTGCTAACTCTAGATATCATTTTTCTTATTATTATTGCTGGAATGACTCCATGTTACTACATTTGCCCCTCAGCCTATCATATGCAACAGCTTATGTTGATCCATGTACTGCTGCTGTATGGCTTTAGCAAGGGACACTACCCACTTCTCCTGAATGTCCCTGTGTGATAAATAATTCTCTGCCTGAAAGGGAAATGGACATCAGAGAGAAACAGGGAGTGGGAGAAATAATATTGGTTTTTCCCTTTTCAGGCTGGATCAGGTTGGCCAACGGTTCAAGCCGCTGTTCTGGGACAGTCGAGGTGCTCCACAAGCAGCAATGGAAAGCCATATCCATATGTGATAAAAACCGAGGACTGTATGAAAAGCAAGTTGTCTGTAGGGAAATGGGTTGCACAGAGAGCCCAAAAATACTTCAATTTTACCCTCCAGGCAGTAACAAGAGGCCATCTATAGACTCCTGTAAATGGACAGCAAATGAACTTGCTGAATGTGACCTGACAAATTTCAAACAGGAAAGCTGCAGTCATGGAGAAGCTGTTAAGTGTTCAGGTAATGGTTGGTGAACTGGTTGGAGAGTCAGACTAGGACGGGAGGAGACCAGGGTTCAAATACCAGCTTGGTGACCAGGTGGAAGCAAAACTTTTAAGTCTTAAAGGAAAGAAATGGCAAACTCCTTCTGAACAAATGTTGCATAGAAAACACTTGGTTTGTACTTGTGCTTTCCAGTCGCCTCTCAATTTATGGCCACCTCATGAATGTCATAGGTCTTTCTAAGGCAAAGAGGACAAATTGCCTATTTTTTCCTGTGAAATATATCTGGCAATTGTTGATAGTCTCCCATTCAAGTACCAACCAGGATGGACATTGCTGAGCTACAAAAAATTAAATGGTATCTGGTGGCTTTAGGCTATTTAGGTCTCACATTCGGGCTGCCATAAAAAACTTAAAGGTTCCCAATAAGTCATCATAGGGGAAGGGAGGGGACAAAGCCATTCAGAGAAATAAAGATGACAAGCACAAAGAGTCAACACTGAAGGACTTTTCATCACTTGGTGACCTTTTCTGAAACACCAAACCTCCATGAACAGGATTCAGCCAGATATTTTCAGAGGAGAAAAGATATCCAGAGGAGCAAAGAGAAGGTGTTTGAGTAAACAATTTGTTTTGCTTTTTGAATTAATAATATTATGATGAAAGCAGGAAAAAAGAACTGTTTATTTAATTTAAGGCAAGAGCTCCTGCTTATTCTTCCCTTCTGAGGTGAAATCCCCACTCTTAAGACATTCTTGAAAGGTAATGTTGACTGTAAACCGCCTATTGGACAATGTCACGGTTTACAATTGCAAGGGAAGTCCATATGGAATAGTTGCCCCCTCCCATTGATTTCAGTGATTCAGGGGGAGATTATGGTGGAAGGGAAGATCCCCTGTGCACATGCACACTGAGGAAAAGGCATAGAAAAGGAGAAAGAAAGAAATGGAAAGTTTTAAAAGGAACCTTTCCTTCCAAGCAAAAAATTGACATTGGCATGGAAAGGTCTCTCTTACAGGAAGGCAATGCTGTTCTGATACAGTTAGGAGTAGTCACAAAGCTCAAAAACAAACTGAATCATTGGGTTGCTGTGAATTTTATGGGCTGTATGGCCATGTTCCAGAAGCATTCTCTCCTGACATTTCACCTGCATCTACAGCAGGCACACTCAGAGGTTGTGAGGCCTGTCGTAAACTAGGCAAGTGGGATTTATATATTTCTATGGAATGTCCAGGGTGGGAGAAAGAACTATTGTCTGTTTGAGGCAGATGGGAATGTTGAAATTGGCCACCTTGATTAACATTTATTGGCCTTGCAGCTTCAAGGTCTGGCTGCTTGCTGCCTGGGGGAATCCTTCATTGGAAGATGATTAGCTAGCCCTGATAGCTTCCTGACTGGAATTCCCCTGTTTTTGCATGTTGTTCTTTTTACTGAAACATGTCAACCCAGAGGTTTCAAGAAATAGAATCTCCCCAACCCAACGGTCCCTGGCTACTCATGACTCCAGCACTTCCTGGGGGTCTGGGTTATCTTTGGGAGTTGGGAGCCTGGGCCTTCTGCCTGCCCAGCCTAGGACCCCCTCCCCTTCCCACATACCTTGTGCTCCTCTCTCTAAGCACATGAGCCCCTGAGGCTTATATAGGAAGTTCTCCCTGAAAGTACCTGGAAGCTTTGCCCAGGGGGCGATTTCCCTCTGGCTCTTCCCTGAGGCTGATTTCCCCATTAAATCCAACCATAAACTCAAGATCTTAACTCTGGATGTCCATCTGTCAGGGGTGTTTTGAATACGATTTTCCTGCTTCTTGGCAAGGGGTTGGACTGGATGGCCCATGAGGTCTCTTCCAACTCTATTATCCTATGATTCTTTCTACTTAGGTTTTGTCCGCTGTGTTTATCAGTTCATAGAATCATAGAATCCTTGCGAGCATCCACTCCAACTCCGGCCAAGAAGCAGGAAGCAGTTCAGCTCTATCTAGCTGGAGGGTTTTTTATTATAATAATTATCACCTTATATTCCAAGCTGGTTGTTATAATTGATACTACACTTGATCTTGGCCAAAAGGCCGAGAAGCGATTGGAGAATCTTGCCTATGGAAATGGAAAGGAAGTTGAAGGAGAGCAGGGATTCCTCTGCGATCCTCAATTCTAGAATCCAGTCCCACTCTAAGTTGTAACTCAATTTTCCTCAGTTCACTGAAAAACAAAAGACAGAACTCTACAAATGGGAGGGAGGGATCTTCAAATGAACATGTGGACTATTGGTTATGAATGGGGTTAGGGCAGTGGTTCTCAACCTTCTTAATGTCACGACCCCTTAATACAGTTCCTCATGTTGTGTTGACCCCCAAGCAAAACATTATTGTTAATGCTACTTCATATCTGCAACTTTGCTACTGTTATTATGTAAATATCTGATATGCAGGATGTATTTTCATCACTGGACCAAATTTAAATACTGGTGGGGTTGGGGGGATTAATTTTGTCATTTGGGAGTTGTAATTGCTGGGATTTATAGTTCACCTACAATCAAAGAGCATTCTGAACTCCACCAACGATGGAACTGAACCAAATTTGGCACATGGAACTCCCAGGACCATCGGAAAACACTGGTTTAGCAGGCATTGAACTTGAGTTTGGGAGTTGTAGTTCACCTACATCCAGAGAGCACTGTGGCCTCAAACAATGATGGATCTGGACCAAACTTGGCATGAATACTCAATATGCCCAAATATGAACACTGGTGGAGTTTTGTGAAAATAGTCCTTGACATTTGGGAGTTGTAGTTGCTGGGATTTATAGTTCACCTATAATCAAGGGAATTATGAACCGCACCAGTGATAGAATTGGGTCAAACTTCCCACACAGAACCCACACAGAACCCCCATGACCAACAGAAAATGTTGTGTTTTCTGATGGTCTTTGGCGACCCCTCTAAAAACCCCTCGCGACCCCTCCAGGGGTCCCGACCCTCAGGTTGAGAACCACTGGGTTAGGGAGTGTCCCATAGGGAGATAGGAGTTCTGCTGCAGGCCTTTGCAACACTCTTGCGTTAATTTCACAATTGCCAGCTTTTCTCTCACTAAGAGAGGTCCTATAACCAGGAAAGTATGCAAGAGAAATCATGGAATTGGCCTTCAAATCAATGAAAGCACCTTTTGTTCTTCCAAAACCAACAGGAACCAGATTGGTGAATGGCACAAACCGTTGCTCTGGCAGAGTTGAAGTGTTTTTGAATTTGAACCCGTGGTCAGTGTGTGATAGCGGATGGGACCTGCATGCTGCTCAAGTCGTGTGCAGAGAACTTGACTGTGGACCTGCCCTGTCAGCCCCAGGAGGATCTCTCTTTGGGACTGGAGAGGATGTCAGAAACATCCCTTATGAACATAAATGTTTGGGAACAGAAGTTGCCTTGGACCAATGTATATTTGATTCAAGAAATGGTTGTAGCACACGTGAATCGGCTGGTGTTGTGTGCTCAGGTAATTGTTGAAAATTAAAGTAAAGACTGATTATTCACTCTGGACTTTTACATTTTATAGCAGAAGAGTCTATAATTAACCCGTCTTAAAAACTGGATATTCAGAAAAGAAATCCCAGTACAGATTTCTAGTGCTAGGAAAAACTACGTATGGTGCTTGCTTTGCGAACACTGTATAAGATTTTCTTATGTTTGTACTATTAATGTAATTTACAATTAATAATTTATTCTGCAGTTTCTAATCTAAACCTGCACTTGTTTGTTGGTTGCTCTACTCTTATGGCTTTAAGTAAGTCATAGCATTGAGTAAGTAAATCTAGATACACATGCAGAACGTGTCTTCACAAATGTATTGGATGCATCCAAATAAATTAGGTAGAGGTTACTTACATGTCCATTTCACTTTCTTAACATATTTATTGGGTACTTCCCTGTGGGAGTGTAAGGCTGTTCTCACCTGAAATACAAGTGTAGACAGCTTGGGATCATATTTACACATAGGTGTTTTAATTGCCTGTGTTGTGATCACACTCAGTGGTGAGCAAGTTGTCACAAAGAGAGAATAATTCCACTCAATCTCCTTTTATGCCTGAGTTCTTGTTATGGGTTGTGCCATGAAATAACTTCTTTTGAGCATGCCCAGAGCAAAGGAAATGCCCATGATATGCATAGGACAAAACCTGGGACTTTTAGCTGCCATGCAGACATCCAGTCCAATGATTCCTTCTGGTACAGAGGATCCAGTAATAATAATCATACTAAATTCTATTTTACCAGTTGGATCCAAAGTGGAAAGAACAATGGCAAGAATTCCTGCTAGTTACTCCCAAATGGAGTATTTCTAGATTCTCTCTCTCTCTCTCTGTGTGTGTGTGTGTGTGTAGTCAAGGCTAAGAACAGAATTTTTGTCCATAAATTAATCGCCATTAATCTTTTACTATATTTAATATTTTTTTTAAAGAACTCCGTTTAAGGAATGACTCAAGTCCCTGCTCAGGGAGGGTCGAAGTCTTTCACAATGGAGCATGGGGGACCATTTGTGATGCTGGCTGGGATTTACAAGATGCCCAAGTGGTCTGCAGGCAGCTGGGCTGTGGCAATGCCTCCACAGCATTGGGCGGAGCACACAATGGCCAAGGATCGGGCCTCATTTGGCTGGAGAGTGTCAACTGTACAGGAGAAGAAGCATCTCTGAAGGAGTGCCAGAAGGGAGGCTGGGCAGAGCACAGTTGCAGCCACAGCCAGGATGCCAGCGTGAAGTGTTCAGGTACATGTCTTTCACAAGTTGTACTTACTGAAGACTTACTGAAAATTGTTTTTATTATTGTGATGGTACTAAAGGTGCTTGCTTTGAAGCTGCCCTGAGTCCCCCTTCGGGGGTGAGAAGGGCAGGGTACAAGTATATGAAATAAATGAATGGATAAATAAATTTTAGCTCCAGAGCCAGCAATGGAACATTGAAGCATATATGTGAGTTAAGTGCTGAATAAGTAATGTCATGATAGTGTAGTTGAATTTAGAGCTAGGATCACAGGTAAGAGGATCCATGCCTGGCGAGCTTTTAAGCTAAACTGAATGAACCAGGACAGAGTAACCTCTCCCCAGGATGAAGATAAGCTATAGTTATATTTTGACATGAGTCCCATATACTATATACACACATGGGGATAGAAATAATATTAAAAGGTACAAGGTAGATAGAAAGTTGAAATGAAATAATACATTTTATTAAAGAGTTGAAACAATATAGTCTGTATGGGGAGTCGCTGCCATTGATCCATTCTTGGTATCCTTATTCACTGCAATTGTGAAAGTCCGGAAGAGAATCAGAAAAAGAAATAAAAATTATATTTTTATTCCGATGCCCTTAAAAAAACTATAAATTGTTGGGGAGTATTGTATTAAATAACAATAGGAATATACTTATGTATTAATGCCCTTAGACAATGAAATACTTTGACCAGAGTTTTCCAAACTGTGTGTCCTGACACATTCATTTGCCAGCTGCAGTATATAGGTGTGGACTATTGGAATTTGAGGGAAGGCAGGTGAAGTCAATGACAACTAATGAGTATTAATAAGAGATGGGATGAACTGCACAACAAAGCCTTGTTTCTATATTGATTCCACAATAGCTAGCTAATGTCCTCCTTGTGCATACTTACTATGAATGTCCCCATGACTAGGACAATATGATGGAGAAAATGAGGAAGTGAACTATAGATCAATAAAGCATTTTTCATTCTTCCAACATCAATAGAAACCAGGTTGGTGAATGGTCGAGACCATTGCTCTGGGAGAGTCGAAGTGTTCCGCAATGGGACCTGGGGAACAGTGTGTGATGATGGATGGGACCTGAGAGATGCTCAAGTCGTGTGCAGAGAACTCGGATGTGGTGAAGCTGTGTCAGCCCCTGAAGAAGCCCACTTTGGAAAAGGAAAGGATCCCATCCTGATAAATGAAGTCCAATGCAATGGGACAGAGGTTTCCCTGTACAACTGCCTTTACAAAATGCACACATTATATGAGTGTCGTCATGAAGAAGATGCCAGTGTTGTGTGTTCAGGTAACCGATGCAAACTAAAGACATGTGGATAATTCAGGAAATTACCACACTTCCCTCAAAAGAGTCCAAACCTGGGGAAGAAATTGTGGTGAAATGTGCAAGTGCTGTGGTGGTTTGCGAATAGTGCTTCCTTATAAAAAAAAAATGTAAGGCACTGAAGAGGACAATGAGTTCCTTCTTTATATTCCATTCTCCCAAATCCCTGCTGATGTTTTACATGCCAAGTACTCAGCATTACTGCTATAACTTACTGTTAGCCTCCAAAAGGTTATAACTAAGGGGAAAATACTGTTTCTACACTCATTTCAACTGAAATCAAAATATTTCTAGGAACCAGAAAATAAAAAGAAAGCAACACAAACATTGGATGTATCCAAATAAATTCTGTAGATGTGTATGACTCTTCTATATTAAATACTAGCTTGGGTACCCAGCATTGCCTGGGTTATTAGAAGAAGTCATTTTTTTAATTTTACAAAATGCATAAGGTTGTGGGTCTACTGCAACTCACATCATGCCAGGTTAACCCTCTGAAACTCTACCTATATTTAAAGTTTGTCACATTGGGTAAATGTGCTCTAGATACATCATCAGTGAGGTTCAGTATGCTCTCCATCTGCAGGATGAATTACAACTCCCACCATGGTGAGCCAGTCCCATCAAATCCCTCCAATACATTCAGTTGGTCATGGGGGTTCTGTGCACCAAGTTAGGTCCAGGTCCATCATTGGTGGGGTTTGGAGTGCTCTTTGATTGCAAGTGAACTATAAATCCCAGTATCTACAACTAATAAACGTTAAGACCTATTCCACCCCAAATCCAACATTATTCAAATTGGGGCATATTGGACGAATGCCAAATTTGGTGCAGATCCATTTTTGTTTGCATTCGCAGTGCTCTCTGGATGTAGGGGAACTGTAATTCCTAGAAATCAAGGTGAATTTTCTCCAAAGCCCTCCTGCATTTTTTGTTGGTCATTGGAGTTCTGTGGGCAAAATTAGGTCCAAGGCCATCGTTGGTGGGTTTCAGAGTCTCTTTGATTGCAGGTGAACTATACATCCCAGTACCTACAATGGCTATAAATCAAGGTGAATTCCCCCCCCCCCTGCAAACCTCTCCAGTATTTTTCTTTGGTCATGGGGTTCTGTGTGTACCAAATGTGGTCCAGGTCCATGGTCAATGGGGGTTGCAGTGCTCTGAGTTGATGCAGGGTGAACTACAACTTTGATCATGTGGAGTCAATCCTCCAAACTCTAGTATGCTTAGTTGCTGCTCAGTTCTGCTCTGTTTGTTATGCACACAGAGTTGAAAAGAGTAGGAAAATGTGTTTTTTTCATTGTATTTTTAATTGAATTTTATAATCATGACAATGATACTTCCTTTTTTTAACATGTACCTTCCAACTCTTCCTGTATTTCCCCCTCCCTCCCTCTCCCTCCCTCCTCAACCACAGTATATTTCTACTAATTTTGCAGATTCATCCACTGAGAAAGTCTTCGTATTTTTTTCTTTGATGTGATCATTGGCTCCTCCATTTTTCACCCAGTTGAAGTAGACCTCCCATCTATTTGTAATGTCCTTTTGTTTGTTCGTTCTTGCTATTTGCTGAGTCGTAATTCCTGTAATGTCTAACAACACTTGATTGTACATAAAAGTCCATTTTTATTTGTCTTTCCATCCTCTAGCATTTCCTATAAACAAAGCACATTGCAATGCGATTTCTTTGCTAATTGTACTATTCTTGACCACTTCAGGTTCAAAGCCATCCCGTTTGTATTTTAAAAGCACATTTTCAGCTTGTCACCCATTATCTTTGCTTATTTGTGGCTTCTCATCTGCTATTTCCCCTTCCCTTATAACTGTGGTTAAGGATTAAGGAAGAGGCAGTGAGTGGGATCATGT